ACTGGTCCCTGAAATTTCCTTGGCTTTATGAATTTGAAATTTGCAGGAAAACCATGGACACTATAGCACTTATCAATGCTATGTCCTGGATTCTTGCAGTAGGTACAAATCCTTGAACTCTTCTTTGCATCATAGGACCCCTTCTGTCCTTTGGAATCACCATATTTCTTACCAGCTGCTTGATTTGTTACCATGAAGGAACCAGACTCCCCTGGGTAGCAGGTACAACATGAATTTCTCTTTGTTTTTCATCTTGTATGACCAAAGAGTATGCCTGCCCAATGGAAGGTAAAGGAGATGACAATAATATATTGCTCCTAACTCCTATGAAGGTTTCATTCAAACCCATAAGTAATTGGAAAAGTCTCTCATCTTGATGAGCCTTGATACTCTTTGCCTTAGCCCCACAATCATACTCACACATACAAGCAAAAAAGGTATTGAGTGCATCTAGCTCATCCCATAATCCTTTCATGTTAGTAAAATAGGTTGAAACACTCGAGTTACCTTGCACCACATCACTTAGTTCTTTTTGTAGATGAAACAACTTTGCTCCACTTGCCTGACCAAACTATCTTCCAGGTCATGCCACAGATCCTTTGCACTATGTGAGTACAAGACACTCTCAACAATTTCATTGGAAAGTGAGTTGAGGGGCCAAGAAAGGACAATGTCGTTGCATTTTGCCCAAGCTCTTTGAAGGCTAGAATCTGCATCTGGAACAGCTAGGGTTCCATCAATGAATCCTAGTTTGTTCTTAGCGGATAAAGCTATGACTACGGCTCTCCTCCACCCACCATAACCTCTGCCATCAAACATTGAGGAGACCAGGTTCATTCCTGGGTAGTCTGAAGGATGAAGGTAGTAGGGATGAGCTGAATCAACTAAACCAATACCACTAGAACCAGCAGATACGGAAGTTGCTGGAACAGGGGGAGATGAGATGAGTGTATCAGTGGTTTGTGAATTTGTTCCCATTGTAAATGAGAAAAGAATTTGAATAAAGAAACGTGGCTTGAAGTAGATCAACACTGCTCTAATACCATGATAGAATAGGAAGGGTATAGATTGAGAAAATTCTCTTTTCTGTATTGAATGAATGACTATAGTGTGTTGTACAAAATGTTGTTTATATACAACAAGAATGGAATCTCAAAATAACTACTTATGTTACGTGTCCCTAATTTATTAGCTAAGCTATAACAAACTAAAGGATAAGTACAAATAAGCAAAACAATATTTACAACCTAAATTTGAAAGACTTCTCTCTAAAGCTTTCTCATATGCCCAAGACAAAAAAGAGGTCCAAGACGAAAAAGGCCCAACACAGAAATGAAATGGTTGGAGCCCAATTTTCCAAACCCATATTATGTTGTATCTTTCAGACATATCTATCTTCCGACAAGAACTAACATAATCTCTTTCCTTAGAGACTTTGAGAACCTTCTCCATTACGACTCCATTGTTGCCATTTTCATCTCCAACACCCCTTCTCAAGTTGGAGAGGGATGAAATTACTCCCAACTTGCCCAATAATCGGTGATGAAAAGGGCCACTAAGAGGCTTTGTGAACAAATCGGCGAGCTGAGAAGAGGAGCGAACAAATGATAGTGAAATCAAACCTGCCATGAACTGTTGGCAAACAAAATTACAATCAAGATCTACATACTTCGTTCTTTCATGAAAGACGGGTTTTTTTAGCTATGTGAATTGCGGGTTGGCTGTCAGAGTGAAAAGGGAACATAAGGGATATTGGAATAGACAAATCATCAAAGAGCTTGACTAACCAGGTAAGCTCTACGACTACACGCCGCATGGATCGATACTCAACTGCTGCAAAGCTAAGAGAAATTGAGGTCTGCTTCTTGGATTTCCAGGAAATAGGAGAAGATCCCAGCAAAATGTAAAACCCACTGACAGATTTGCGCGATTCTGGGCATGTGCACCAATCGAAGTCACAAAAAGCCAACAACTGATACGAAGGGGAAGAAGTCATGAATAAACCAAGACTAGGATCCTTTGATAAATCGAAGGACACGAAGGGCTGCTTGCATGTGAGGAACTCGTGGATCCTGCATATATTGGCTTAGATCCTGCACAGTGAAGGAAAGGCCCGGCCTTATATGAGTTAAATAGTTCAACTTTCCCAACAAATTGCGATACAAGGTCGGGTCTTTGATAGGAGCACCAGTTTTGGCCAACAATTTGACAGTGGGATCAAGTGGACAAGAAACAGATGGCTTGTGAAGACAATCAAATTCCAGCAATAAATCAAGAGTGAATTTTCGCTGAGTCAGAATTATTCCTCAGATTCACGCAGTACCTCTATTCCAAGAAAATAATGTAAGTTCCTTAAATCCTTTATTTTGAATTCCTGATATAGAAAAACTTTCAAAGCATGTATCTCCTCTAAATTATTTCCTGTCAAGAGTATATCATTGACATAGACGGCCACTATAGAGATAGAGGAGTCAAACCTTTTAAAGAATAGGGAATAATCATTGAGAGAATGGGAGAAACCTTTAAAATTAAGGATTACTATTAATTTAGCATACCACTGCCAGGATGCTTGACAAAGCCCATATAGTGACTTCTTTAACTTGCAAACATGTGTAGGAGAAGAAGGAGTGAACCCAATTGGAAACTTCATGTACACCTCTTCATTTAAATCCTCATGCAGAAATGCATTATTCACATCAATTCCCCAACCTTTCTTAATTGTTGTAGCTAGAATACATCTGATGGTGGTCATTTTTACCACTGGGGAAAATGTTTCATTGAAGTTTATCCCTTCTTTTTGAATATCCCCTCTAACTACAAGTCTAGCTTTGAGCCTTTCCACACATCCATCAGAGTTGTGCTTCACTTTATATGCCCACTTGCATGGTAATGCCTTTCTACCAGGAGGTAATTCCATGACCTCCCAAGTGTAATTGAGCTCAAGTGCTTCTATCTCTCTTTCCATTGCTTCCTGCCATCCTAGGTGATGGGCTGTTTGGGTATAGCTGGTTGGTTCTTGGATAGTGGATAGGGAATTTAGGAGATGTTGGTTGGATGTAGATAGGTTATTGAAAGGAAAACTAGAAGGTGTTACAGGTGATAGGAAACAAAAACCACTTACATCAGTCAATTGAATAGCATTACAAATGTAGTCCTTGAGGTAAGGGGAAGGTTATGTGGCCTTGAGGATTTTCTAATAAGACTGTCCAGCATGGGTTCAGTAGCTGAAGGTGAAGCAGTAGGAATAGGAGAGTGAGGGATAAAAGAAGAAGATGGTGTAGGACTTGAAGGTGGAAAATCAGGAAAGTTTTGCACAAGAGGATCTTTATGAGGGAGTTCTGAATGTTCAGTAGCAGGGTGTGGTAAATCAAGGGAGAAGGTAGGAGAACTGGACATTGGTGCAGTAGGTAAAAAGGAGCCAGTTGACCCCTTGGATGTGATGGAGGAAAAACAGAAGAATTCTTCATGAAAAACAACATCCCTAGAAACAAAAGGGCTTTAGAGTGCTAAGATGGAGAACCTTGTACCCCTTCTTTCCATGTGGATAACCCAAGAAAACACAAGGTATAGCCCTTGGTTGGAACTTTGTTCTGTTATTTGAGAGAGTAGAAACAAAACATAGACACCCAAAATACCTCAAATTAGAGTAACTAGGTTTGGATTTGAAAAGAACCTCATAGGGTGTTTTATAAGAAAGAACTTTGGAAGGAAACCTATTGATCAAGTAAAAAGCAGTTAGAACACAATCCCCTCTAATAAGCAATAGGCAATTTTGATTGCAAGAGCAGGGCTCGAGATGTCTCTAAAAGATGCTTATGTTTCCTCTCCACAACCTCATTTTGTTGTGGAGAAGCTACAAAAGTAGTCTGATGCACTATTCCCTGTGAAGAAAAAAAATTAGACTGCAGACTCCCACTCCCTAATTTCAAAATCATTGTCTGACCTTATTATCTTGACCTTGGTATTGAACTATCTCTCTACCATAGCCAAAAATGACTTAAGAACTGGAAATACATTTGATTTTGTACTTAGTAGATAAGTCCATGTTCCTCTACTGTAGTCATCAACAATTGTAAGAAAGTATTTATAACCATCATAAGTTTGGTTGCTATAGGGCCCCATGTGTCTATGTGAATTAGCTCAAAAACATTCTTTGTGGAAATAGAACTAGTGGGAAAAGGGAGTTTGGACTGTCTAGCCATAGGACAAACAACACAAGGCACAAAAAACTTTGAACAAGAAGAAACAGGAATAGTAGATATATTTGTCATATTACTTAAAGGAATGTGACCCAGTCTATAGTGCCATAATTTTTCTTTTACATAGGGATCTGAAGAACTAAAACAAGAAAGTAAAACTGGAGCAGATTGTTTGTCATTGAAACTCTTTCTAGATACCAAACTACTATTGGAAAGTAAAAAACTCTTGGGAATGGGAGCTGTTGGCCTTGATTGAAGAATGTAGAGACCACTTCTCTCCTTACCAATCTCCAGAGGGCTCTTCAGAGAAGGGCCCTGCAAAAAACAAGAAGTAGAAGTAAAAAAGAGTGGATTACTAAGCTGCTTACATAATTTGTGCACAGATAGTAGATTGTACTTAAAAGAAGGTATATACAACACATTGTGTATTACCAGATTAGATAAAAGAGCTACTGATCCATAATGAGTAACTAAAACTTTCTGAGAGTTAGGAAGATTGACTATTCTAGGCTTGATTAAAGGTTTGAGATTAGACAAAAAAAATCTTATTATAAGACATATGTTCGAAGCACCACAATCTAGTATCCATGAATGACTGTTGAATTGAAAGAAACATGCAAGTGACTTAAAGAATTTGTGTATACCAACACAGTTTGCACTAGCAGTACCATCAGAAGTACTGCCTCCTTGCTGTCCCATCTTCAACTGTTGAAGAAGCTGAAGTAGCTGAGTGACATTCTCCTGGGTAAGTGATTTTTCCTTCTGAAATTCCAAATCCCTGTTCTCCTTCTTCATTTGAGATTAGAGCATTGTTTGCCTTGACTGGTCCTGAAATTTCCTTGGCTTTGTGAATTTGAAATCTGCAGGAAAACCATGGACCCTATAACACTTATCAATGTTATGTCCTGGCTTCTTGCAGTAGGTACAAATCCCTGAACTCTTCTTTGCATCATAGGACCCCTTCTGTCCTTTGGAATCACCATATTTCTTCCCAGCTGCTTGGTTTGTTACCATGAAGGAACCAGACTCCCCTGGGTAGGCAGGTACAACATGAATTTCTCTTTGTTTTTCATCTTGTATGACCAAAGAGTATGCCTGCCCAATGGAAAGTAAAGGAGATGACAACAATATGTTGCTCCTAACTCCTATGAAGGTTTCATTCAAACCCATAAGGAATTGCAAAAGTCTCTCATCTTGATGAGCCTTGATACTCTTTGCATTAGCCCCACAATCACACTCACACACACAAGCAGAAAAGGTATTGAGTGCATCTAGCTCATCCCATAATTCTCTCATGTTAGTAAAATAGGTTGAAACACTCGAGTTACCTTGCATCACAGCACTTTGTTCTTTTTGTAGCTGAAACAACTTTGCTCCACTTGCCTGACCAAACCTATCTTCCAGGTCATGCCACAGATCTTTTGCACTATGTGAGTACAAGACACTCTCAGCAATTTCTTTGGAAAGTGAGTTGAGGAGATAAGAAAGGACCATGTTGTTGCATCTTGCCCAAGCTCTTTGAAGGCTAGAATCTGCATCTGGAACAGCTAGGGTTCCATCAATGAATCCTAGTTTGTTCTTAGCGGATAAAGCTATGACTACGGCTCTTCTCCACCCACCATAACCTCTGCCATCAAACACTGAGGAGACCAGGTTCATTCCTGGGTAGTCTGAATGATGGAGGTAGTAGGGATGAGCTGAATCAACTAAACCAATACCACTAGAACCAGCAGATACAAAAGCTGCTGGAACAGGGGGAGAGGAGATGAGTGTATCAGTGGTTTGTGAATTTGTTCCCATCGTAAATGAGAAAAGAATTTGAATAAAGAAACGTGGCTTGAAGCATACCAGCACTGCTCTGATACCATGACAGAATAGGTAGGGGATAGATTGAGAAAATTCTCTTTTCTGTATTGAATGAATGACCATAGTATTGTACAGAATTTTGTTATATACAACAAGAATGGAATCTCAAAATAACTACTTATGCTACGTGTCCCTAATTTATTAGCTAAGCTATAACAAACTAAAGGATAAGTACAAATAAGCAAAATAATATTTACAACCTAAATCTGAAAGACTTCTCTCTACAGCTTTCTCATAGGCCCAAGACAAAAAAGAGGTCCAAGACGAAAAAGGCCTAACACAGAAATGAAATGTCTGGAGCCCAATTTTCCAAACCCATATTATGTTGTATCGTTCAGACATATCTATCTTCCGACAAGAACTAACCTAATCCCTTTCCTTAGAGACTTTGAGAACCTTCTCCATTACGACTCCATTGTTGCCATTTTCATCTCCAACATTTTTTTTGAATGAATGAATTAGTTTTTTTCAATTTATTGGATTGGCAATGAGAACATTGAAAGAGAAAGAAGTAGACTTCTTGGGAATTTTGCATAGAGTTAGGAGAAGAAAGTGGAGATTTGTAAATACTATAAAGAAGGGAGCAAAGTATTTTATTTTACATCTATATATTTATGATGTATACAAATTTATCTACAATATCATGCCATATTTACCTATTATAGCAAATAAGCAAATAATATATTTTATTTTTAAAATTATAAATTCTTTTTTATATTAAATCGCATGTAGATATGTATATAACTTAAACCGCAATTATTTGAAGTAATTGTGGAAAAGGAGAAAAAAATAAATTTAACGAAAATAGTAGAAATTTAAAGAGTTTTCAAGAATAGATGAATTAAGAGGAGGGAAGAGGAAAGAAATCAATAATGATCGTGCAAATTCAATGACTTTTCAAGAATAGGAGAATTGGTAAGGACTTTAAAAAATATATTCAGAGAAGAAAAGAAGAATAGTTGAAAAAAGGAAAAGGAATAAGAAAACAAATAAATATTGGAAATACAATTCAATGGACAGACATCACAACTTTAGATGTCACTTTTTTGTTTATTTTTTAGTTGTCTTGCATTCATTTCAAGTTTTATGATTTGAATAGAAGATTCTTTTTTTTTTTTAAGGAAAGACTATAGGTGTGCTATCTAATGAAAGAATATGCGTGTTTTAGATATGTATTAGACTAAGGAAATAAGGTGCGCATAAACACATATATAAGTGAAAAAAATGCTTATAATTCTTTATTTTTTTAAAAAGTCAGTTTATGAAAGATGTTGTCCCTTTAACCTCAATCAATATATAGAATTTATTTTTTATTTATATATGTCCACCAAAATTTTATCTCCTTTATTTTAATTAAATTTATATTTTTTATAACGGCGCAAAGCGCGGATAAATTCACTAGTTTCAAGATAAGAAAAGACAACAAAAAGGACTAATATGCTAGGCTTCAGTAATTTTGTTTATATTTATAAAAAATTTAATTTTAAACTAGGACTATTATATTAAAACGAGGAAAATATTTGTGAAAATTTTAGTCCAGAAAAAGATATTAAGAAAAGTCAATGTTAATAAATAAATAAATAAATTCTCTATCAGTAAAAAGAAGAACTCTCTCTCTTAATTTATTGATCGCAAATTTTTATGCATTTTAAATATCATAAAAATCACTCATGGTTTGAAATGCGTTTTATGTATTTTTTAAAATATTAAATCTTATTTAAAACTAAAATAATCAATATCCGAGTTATCCAAAAATTTTAAAACCCTGCTCTACTTATTTTGGGACCGAGGGAAACTAATTTTATCCTAAAATTAAAATCAGGAAAATATAGTGGAAAAAAGGAAATATTTGTGAATTCTTGGTCAAGCACTCGCTAGCCCGTGCTATTATTTTAATGACTTTTGAAACTGTGGTTATTTTTGAATGACTACTTGTAAATCTAGCTATTTTTGAATTTCTCTCTAGAGCCGGGATTAGGTTAAAATAGCACGGGCTAGCAAGTTTTCGGACCGGTCATTCAAAAATAGCCAGCGTTTGCCAAGTCATTGAAAAATAGCCATTATTTTGCTGCAACAAAGACCGATCCAGCATAATATACTGGAGTTTGGTACACCTGTGTATGAACTTCCAGCATATTACGCTGGACCGATATACTTTGCTGGCTCCAGTATATTATACTAGAGTTCCAGCAAAGTATACTGGATCAATATATTATATTGGAGTTCCAGTATAATATATTGGAGTATTTTCTGGATTTTAAACAGTGTTACTTTTGAAACTGTGGCTATTTTTGGATGACCACTTGTAAATCTGACTATTTTTGAATTTCTCGCTTCGGACTTGTCATTTAAAAATAGTTGAATCTTATTCCAAGGTAAAAATAACACGGTATAGCCAGTTTTCGGACTGGTAATTCAAAAATAGCAAGCGTTTACAAAGTCAATAAAAAATAGCCACTATTTTGCTGCAACAGAGATCGGTCCAGGATAATATACTGGAGTTCGGTGCACCTGTGTATGAACTCCAGCATATTATGCTGGACCGGTATACTTTGCTGGCTCCAGTATAATATACTGGAGACTGGAGCACCGGTGCTCCAAACTCCAGTATATTATGCGGGACCGGTATACTTGCTGGAACTCCAGTATATTATGCTGGAGTTCTAGTGTACTTATGCTGGAACTCTGTCATATTATACTTATCCTGGAACTCCAGTATAATATGCTGGAGTTCAAGTATACTTATGTTGGAACTCCAGCATAATATACTGTGTATTTTCTGGGTTTTGAACAGTGTTTTTGTTCAAATTTATCTTTACATGAAAAGTGGCTAAATTTCGATTACTTTTGAAATTAGGCTATTTTTAAACGACCAGTTGTAAATCTGACTATTTTTGAATTTTACCCTGTTCCAAGTCCAGAAGTCTGTAGCAGCCCACTAATCCCCGTAAAAGTAGCACGGTATAGCCAGTTTTCGGACTGGTCATTCAAAAATAGCCAGCGTTTACGAAGTCAATGAAAAATAGCCACTATTTTGCTGCAACAGAGACCAGTCCAGCATAATATACTGGAGTTCGGTGCACCCGTGTATGAACTCCAGCATATTATGCTGGACCGCGGTATACTTTGCTGACTCTAGTATAATATACTGGAGTTTGGAACACCGGTGCTCCAAACTCCAGTATATTATACTGGACAATTATACTTGCTGGAACTCCAGTATATTATGCTGGAGTTCTAGTGTACTTATGGTGGAACTCCATCATATTATGCTGGAGTTCCAGCATACTTATCTTGTAACTCCATTATAATATGTTGGAGTTCCAAGCATTCTTATGCTGAAAAACTCCAGTATAATATACTAGTGTATTTTATGGGTTTCGAACAGTATTTTTGCTCATATTTATCTTTTACATAAAATGGCTAAATTTTGATTAGCCATTTTTGTGTGTCCCCTAGCCAGTTGTAAATCTGGCTATTTTTGAATTTCTCCCCTAATATACTAGCCAGTTGTAAATCTGGCTATTTTTGAATTTCTCCCCTAATCTCCGGCTCCAAGTCCAGCCCAATCTTGTCCAACAAATTGAAATTTTCAGCTAAATTTGGTATTTTATTAAGTGGTATTTTCAGAGCCAAACGTTGGAATTTTATTGTTTGTCAGTGAGTAGTTGGTGAACAAGAATATCAAACAGCAAAAAAATCCATCAGCAGATCAAAGTACCCATTTAACTTCTAGCCATTTTTTGATAAAAAGCTTCAACCTTTAACTCCTGTTTTTACATACCCATTAAGGTAAAATCCTTCAAATTCTTGATTTTTGTGTGTTTTTATTAAGTGGGTTATGTGTTGTTGTTCATTATTTGATCTTAATTGGAGTTACTGATTATAAAAATTTGTTCTTGCTATGTATTGTTACACTTTGCAGTAGTTAGTGGAAAAGCTGCAATCTTTAACTCCAATTTTTACATACCCATTAAGGTAAATCCTTCAAATTCTTGATTTTTTGTTTGTTTTTATTAAGTGGGGTTATGTGTTTTTGTTCATTATTTGATATTAATTGGGGTTCTGATTATAAAATTTTTGTTCTTGGAATGTATTAGGACTTTTTGCAGTAGCTAGCTCGGACAATATAATCTTATAAAAAAACCTGAGAGAGAAATATTTTGCTGGACGAAGACTTTGTCAACCTCCGTAGAAAATTAAAATAGAAAAAGAAATTCAATCAATGGGGTCCTTTTTCTTTGGCAGAGAAGAGAGAGAGGGACGTTTGTGTTTGTGCTTTGGAGCCATAATTCAATTCAATAGTAACAATAATTCACGTCAACTGGACTATAGCATTAATGTTACAGAGTATACCAGTACCAATAATTCTATGGAGTAGAGCCCATCTCATACGAACTTTTCTTATTTGAAGTGCCAGTAGCTAGTTGTTTATTTCTTTCTCTCCTATTATCATCAGTTGATCTCTTACCACAAGTACAATTTATCCACATATAGGTTTTTGTCTTTTCAGATAATTAACTGAATCAATGGCATCATCTTCTGCTTCTGGGAGCGCTTCACAGTTTCCTCGGTGAAACTACAAAGTCTTTCTAAGTTTTAGAGGTGAAGATAATCGAAGAACATTTACAGGTCACCTCTTCAAAGGTTTGGAAAACAGTGGAATATTCACGTTTCAAGATGATAAAAGGCTAGAGCATGGCGCATCAATATCAGACGAACTCTTGAAAGCTATCGAACAGTCTCAAGTTGCCCTCGTCGTTTTCTCAAAGAATTATGCAACATCGAGGTGGTGCTTAGATGAGCTAGTGAAGATCATGGAATGCAAGGATCAATGCGGACAAACTGTCATACCAGTCTTCTATGATGTGGATCCATCACATGTTCGGAACCAGAGGGATAGCTTTGCTGAAGCCTTTGACAAACATGAAACA